AAACCCACTTTTAGCATGTGCTCATTTGTATCTTATAGTCTTATCTTTTTAGCTTTTCTTCTTTCATGAATGTTTTCTGTTTCATCTTCTGAGACTGGTGATCATGTGAGATGGTGAACTGTGACCATGTACACTTATCAGTGAAAAGAAAGTAACATGGCCCCTTTTCACACTAGTGATGCTTCAGGCAAATCATAAAAATTTTTCAATATACCAATTGTCATTTGATGGGTCATGTGGTGATCATCGCATCGACCACCTTTAATTCTTAGTTTATGTCCTAATACACACCGTAGGCTGAGTTGACCAGGAGTCAACGTAAATTTTTGTTCTCCAAATCCACCCAGTTAGGATTCAAACCTAACATCTATGAGCAGTCAGGTAAATGATTAGCTAGTGTGCTACAATGGTCCGCACTTACCAGCATGGCATCTGATCAATGTTTGTCTCTACTTTCTACCCTTATTTCTGTCCTCTTTCGTTGGGGTTCAATTTCCTGGGTGTTTGTCCTCAGGGAGCTGGACTGAATTCTATCTAGGATACTGAACTGAATACACAGGATAGAATGGAAGAACACACTGCAAGCCCTATGTGACATATAATAGTGATGATGACGATGTCTTCAAGCAGACTTTGATGGAAAACATCAGGTGGCTGTGTGCCTCTTTATTCTACAGTCAGTCCTCTACAGAAAATTGTCTATTATTTTCATACTTTTTGCTACTTTTACTGCAGTCGCCCCGATCACAGTGATTTAACATCAGACAAAACAATCACATTTGATTAACATGTTGTGAATACGTTAGGATTATAACAAGGATGTGCAATACAGCAAACGCAGGCAGTAAGTAAATGTATGTAATCAGTCTTTGATTTGGTTCATGGAGGATCACCTTCATAGCACATAGATATCTCCCAAGTGTTCGACTGGGTCCTCCAACAGATTACATAAAGAGTGATCTAGGCACTGTGCACATACTCCATAGCACTGGTAAGGATCCCACTTTACGTAACAAGACACATGTTATAAATAATTGTGTGTGTGTGTGGGTAGCTCTTCTAATTAGAATATGCATGAGCAGTACTGTGCCCATTTGTAGAGGCACCACAGAATACTGAACATATACTAGAGAACTGCTCTCTGCAGGGTCATCCTCAGGCTAGGCTAGATTGTAATCTGGTAGAAACCAGCTGTATAGATCAGAAGAGGACATGCATCGCACCAACTTCAATTTCCAACTGTCAAGATATTTTAACGTGCAACAGACACATGAGGTTCTTTGTGTCTTTTGCTACTGTCTGATAAGGCTAAACATCTTATCTTTTCTTTTTATCAGTGTTTCCCAAACGTATCTTAGTAGCCACGTCTTTCTTCAAAACAAAATTTTCTATGGTGCCCTAACCTAAGCAAGAGTATGACTATTCGTGTCTTTGTTAAATTAATTATGAAGCTTTTACAATATTTTGCAGCTCCCCGGGGCGCTGTGGCGCACAGTTTGGGAATCACTGTTTTCAGCCCATGCCGTGTGGCGTTGGTAGTCATTTCTATCCACAACCTTCTGTCTCACCTACTTTCAATCAATTCTGACACAGATGATCTTCCATGCAATGTCATTCTGTCCAGCATCTTCTCTCAGTCTCCCTCTGCCTTTTTTCCCCTCCAACTTTCCCCCTGTCTGGATGTACTCTAGTTTTCTTCTTCTCATGGTACGACCAGTAATGTAGATCATCTCCTTCTGATGTAGGCAATCAGTTCTCATCCTGAGTCAGTTTCTTGGAGGACATCTTCATTACACTTTTTAACTGTCAAGGGTGTTCTCATAATTTGTCTATAAAACCACATCTCCACCGCTTCCATATACATTTTTACTTACTGCGCAGCTGTTCATGATTCACTTCCGTACATCAGGATAGGATTTATAAAGCTAAACATCTGATTTACTGCCATAGAATCAGGTGAGAACGTACCATTCTTTTTCTTTTATACAAATTCAACACTGTGAGATCAATCCAAACTGTTTGAGCTAGAAGTGGACGACACAACCTTTACTCTACAATGGCCCCAAATGAATAAAAGGTGCGAAGAACTGTAATGTTCTTTATGTAAGACCTGCTTTGGAAAGCAACAATACGATTCATTCTTTGCCATACAGTTCTTCTTCTTCTTCAGCATTCTATGCCCTTGAAGTTCACTGCTGCAGATATCACACCGTCTCTGTGATTAGCTGAACTCCAGGCTTAGACATCTGTTTCATGGTGAAATTAGGTTTTACAAAATTGATGGTGCTCTGGAAAGCAACAACTCCAAACAACAAAGTCTATGTCACATAGTGGTTTAATTAATTATTATATAACATAATGAACACACAATAATGGAACCAACATTAACTTCTACAAAACTGGCGACTGAAGAGTTATGAATGAAATTCAATAATAGTTGACGAAAAAATATCCAAATAGTTTAAAAGTAAGGTTAGTTGCGTATCCTTTACAGGACGTTGCAGAACCAACCCCAGCAGCCCCTGGCTGTTGTGTGGTCTCTCTAGGCAAATTTACGTCCAGTAGTTTGCCATTGCTTTCTGGACGGTCAGCCCCCTGATACCACTGTCGAAACCAACGCAAGGCGCATGGCCCGCAGCTGGGATCGAACCCGGCACCCCGGCATTACGAAGCGTTCGCATCGACTTAGCTACAGAGCCTACTTAAAAGTAAGAATGAAAAAAAAATTTACAAACAGCTCCAAAAAGGTATCTATAGGAATAATGATGATGGGGCCTCTAAAAAAATTGTTGAACAGCGCAGCCTGTCCACCCAAAGAACTTGGGTTTGAATCCTCAACAAGTCAGATGTTTTTAAAAATTGATTTTAACTCCTAGGTTGACCCAGCCAAAAATGGGCACCAGGTAAAGTCTTGGGAAGAAAAGGTGGCTGGCATGATGTTGAACATATTACCCATTTAAGAATGATTGGTTTTTAAATACGAGTCTAACTTCCAATGCTCAAAGTGTCACTAGCAAGGAAAGAGTCCTTTACTTACTCACAAAGTCGACCTAGCCTAAAATGGGTACTAGGTAAGGTAAAGGGAAGTAGAGCTAGACGGCGTGATGTTGAAAACGTTAAACACGCTGTGTTGACTGGTCTATAAAATTATGATTCTATTACCAAATGTCTGATCTGCCACTGGCGTCTAAACCACAGCTCTTTTCCAATTGTGTTGCCTATCCATTTTTATTGAACTAATTTCGCTAAGGCCAAAAAGGAACTTATGACAACTGTTGCAATGTAATGAAAGCACTAGTCAACCCTACCAAAGCAACAGTGCCATTGACCAAGAGCTACATCAGAAGCCATCAAACAGATAAAAAGCTTACAAAGAAGCAACAAGATAGTTAATGAAACAATTCTACACTTTCTGCTAGTGCAGTTCTATAGTACACACTGTGACCTGTTAAAAAAAAACATGACACAACTTCAGAATTTTATAATTTAGTAGAACTCTATAATGATGTTATTATAATATATATTGTAATATTCAAGATACTATATTTATACATGTATGTATCAGGTAATCAGAGTTTCAACTTCATAGCAAATGGGTCACCCCAAAGTTGCTCAGTTCTTGTGCCACCCACAAAGAATGTCCATCACTAAATCTTGTGAAAACAATTACACAAGACATCAGTCTCAGCAAAAATAACAGCATATACGCTCATTAAATGCATAAGGCAGCCGTCAGAAGTGCCAGTACAGTATAGTCTGACACTAGAAATGCAGCTCATCATCGATGGAAGCAACAGATCAGTAGTTGCACACACATTTCATTGCTAAGGCACCACCAGTTCTCTGGCACCAGGCTACTCGCTATTTTCTGAACCTGCAATTCCCAACAGAAACCACACTAGGCACAGCCAAAAAGCATTACAAATGAAATATGCAGCTCACAGTGTCACACAAACCCCCTACTTAGTAGCTGGGAGTCGGAACTACATCTTTTTAGTCTACATACGGAGGAAAATGCCATAGCTAGCTTTTATCGTAAGCAAACTTTTGCCACAACTAAAATCAGTAAACCTGCCTATCCACCATATTGATCAAAAGTCCACATGTAAGTATGTATGAGGGGTATTGAACAAGTCTGCACTTTAGCATAAATGAGTCAAGGCACTTACTTAGACACTGATGCGAAATTAAGCCATTTTCTGCATATTCACTCAAGATGCACTCACATCTTTTCTTTATCTTTCTGATGCCTTGACTGCCAAACTCCTTCAAGTGATCAAGTTCAGTAATTAAGTCCTGATTGTTTAAAACAAAAAGAAGGGGGGGGGGGGGGGGGAGGGACACAGATGGAGCTGATTTTTCATGTTTGGTAACAGGAAGAAGTCAATCACTACCAAGTCCAATGAGTATGGTGGCTGGGACATGATGTCATACCCACAAGTCCCTGTACGGATCCCAGGACTTCCATTTGGGGGGACACAAAAAAGAGGCCCACACTGTCCCCTAATAAGCATGTCGTAAAAGGTGACTAATTAGGGAACTGCTGAAATCGGATATGCTGGGCCGAGAGGCGCAGATATCACAGCCTAGCTGTAAACCACAACACATTGTGCCCTTTTAAAGCTGTATGAACTAGATACCTACAGTGAAAACATGGTTCTGGACCCAGAGGAGTTTTACAATTACGGCATCAGAAAGATCAAGAAGAGATGGGAGAGGTGAATCACCTCAAGATGTAAAATATGTTTAGCAAAACCACATCACACCAATTTCCATGTATACGTTTTGATTCAACACTACAGTACAAACCTTACTGACACCTCCCCCTTTTCCCTCTCTCTCTCTCTCTCTCTTCTCTGTGTGCATCTATATGCATGTATGCATATATTTTACACTATTGCATTTTATTTAAAGAGCAGCAGGAATAGATAAATAACTGTGAAGATACACTTGGAACTATAATCTTAATGAGACAAGGTTTCCAACAGTTGAATCACAGTTTAATCATCATCATCTTGAGCATAATCATGGTCAATTTCTGTTTCCTGGAGATACTGTGACAGCTTGCCAATGAGAGCATGTTGTGTGTGTTGGGACACTGCAGGGCTGAATGGGAAAGAAGACGTGATGTACACACACGACAACTGAGTGCTTCTGGGTTGGTAGCCTGTTGAACCGAAGACTAATCCACTTTGTGGACGCGGACTTCTGACCCGTGACTGCAAATGCCTACCATTCACTGAAGGAAGGCTCTGATCAGACTGCTGTGTGAGAATCTGAAGCTTGTACTGAAGGCACACAATCTCTTCAGCAAGAATGCACTGCTGCATGTACTGGGATGGATTTCCACCTCCGACAATCTGTGCTGGAACGATCCAGCGAAGAAAACACTGAGACCAGAGTTTGATAAGGCCTGCGGTAACTTCCGGTTTAAGTACGGTCTCCTGAAGTGCAAAAATGTCTGCAATTGATGGCTGACTTCCAAGGTACACGCGGTAATTTTCACTGGGATGATCTCCGCAAAGACGCAAGGCATTCTTTGCACTGTCTACAACACTGTCTAAATTATATGACTCCCGCAAATTGTACAGAGGATTATTAAACAGAAGCACCTGCTCATCCGTGAGCTGGAACTTCCAGTCCCAAGCACTAGGCAAGGCAATAATGGTCATTTTGCGACCCTCTTTTAAAAACTTCTGCCTGTGCCAACAGCTGTTGAACAAGAAGGTTTCAAACAGACCAATATGTGCTGTGTCCCATAATGTAGTTAGGTAAGTCTCAGTGAATGCAAAAGATGAAGGAAACTGCTGCAGAAGCTGCCAGACACAGTCCAGAAACAGCAAAAACACAGGAGCCTAAAAAAGAAAATATATATTTATTTAATATGGTGATGACTATTTTTTTTTTCAAATATAAGGTCTAGCACTAGATACATGATGCATCAAAAGGTGTGAAAAAGAATTCTTTAAGGGTTAACTAAAAAAAACCAAACTTTGAACATCATCATAAACCACATCTGCCGTTGAGCATTGTGGGAAGGAACAATGTGTGTTTCAGTGCAAGCTGGCTGGCACTGGCCATAGTCATGCTGAAAAGACATAAAGTATCTTCTTTAATGAGGTCAAAACCATCTTTTTTGTGGGCATCCTCTTGCTCTTGCAGCTAATCTTCTGAGATGTAGTGATGGTTTTTTTATTTTGCTGCATTCTAATGAGATGGCCAAACCACTTGATCTGCTGTTTCTCGACAAATCTAGTATTAGGTATTGTTCCCACACTCTGTCTGATAGTATCATTATTCACTCAATCTTGCATGGTCAGACTATGACATCTAATAATAAATAAAGAATCAAACATGTTTGATAATTAGATAATAAGTTTACAAGTAATTATAAGATAATTAAAAACAGATGTTTACTTAGGGCCCATTTTTGGGAGAGAAAAAAAGGATTGGTTCCATTGTCCCCCTAACGAGCATATCGTAAAAGCTGAGTAATCAGGATTTTGCTTATATCAGATGTGTTTGACTGAAAGGCACAAATATTGCAGCCTAGCTGCAAACAGAACACAAAAGGCTAGCTGCCTTTAAGAACAAACACAGATTGGAAGAAGAAGATATTCAAGCTGTGTGTGATGACATGCAGCTATTGCTGCATCCAGCAACACGCAAATCACATGTCAAAGTAAACAATATTCTGTCTCGAGTTCTTCATCAAGTCAGTTTGGGCAGTCTTTTGGGAGGGGAAGAACAGACCTACTGACTCCTAACAAGCATATTGTGAAAGGCAACTAATTATGGATTCGCTTGAAACAGACGCACTGGACCAAAGATACAGGACAAAGTAATATTCCTGCCCAAGTTTTTCATCAAGTTAGTGAAGGTAAACTTATCTCTCTACACTGTCCCCACAGCCACATCTGCATTAACAATGTTGGGGGACCCCTGTGTGGGTTCCGGGGCCCCATTGTGGGGAAAACAAGAATAGACCCACTGCCTCCCCAAAAGCATGTTGTAAGAGTCAACTAATTGGGGGAGCTTCCTTTGAAGACGGAGTGCGTCTGCCGGAGAGGCAAGGAACCAACAGTCTGTATTCAAGAGAATGAGATCCGTAAAACTGATGCACACGCAACACTCAGGTTCTGGAGCAGGACTGCAGTTCAGTAGTAGACGAGCAACCAGAACCTTCCGCCAGAGTTTACAGCTGGTGAACGCGAAGAAGAAGAAGAAGAATGTTGGGGGAAAAACCATGTTAGTGCTATTCTGATTTGATTGACCAGAACTTTAGAAACATTACATCAATCAGCAATGCAGCTAAGTTCAATTCTGAACTTTTACAATGGTAATTGAAATCAAAATAGATAAATGCACCTAACCGATAATGTTAGTATTCACCTCCAGGCAAACCCTGTGTTTGCAGTAACAGTCATTACTCATACAGTTCCAATGTAAAGCTAATTGTGTGGGTTCCAGGGCCCCATTTTGGGGTGGGGGTGGAAAAGTTCTCTTGACGATCATGTTATAAAAAGCAAGTAATTAGAGATTTTCTGAAATTAGATGTGTTGGGCCATCAGACGCATACATCACAGCCTAGCTTTAAACCACAGCACAATGTGCCAACCACTGTTTAAGGGGTGAAGACAAAAGATGAACATGTGAAGCATTTTCTATCTTATACTGAACATTCACATTCCAACTAGCTTTTACACAACTCAGGTGCAGAATCTTTCCTAGAAATACCTTTTCACTTTCAGGCTGATCTGGCGAGAAGACAAGATGAAAACGCTTTTGGAAAGGGTGTCCCATTACCACCCATTCTCTCTGAATCAAGTTCTGGAAACCGGCAATAGTTCTGTTCTCAGGATCCAGCTGAATTTGGACCAATGATGAAACAAGGCAGGTCATGTCACAGCCACTTTCTTCTACAGAATAAAGAAAGAATATACATTAACTTTCATAGAACAATTAAACAAAAATACTAATATTTTAATGAAAAAAAGTTTTCTTCGTCTCTTTCTCATGGAATGTTTAGCTGCGTCAGGGCAGGATGAAGATCTCTCTAGAACAGCTTTTCTGTTCCCTTGGTATAAAGTATTTTTAGTGTCTCTGATATTTCTGCACTCCATCTTGTACGTGAACAACCTCTGGCTCTGTTGCCAATGTTATCTATATAGCATTGCTCTCTGTGGTGTCCTGTCTGACGCCAATCTTGTTACATGGCCAAACCATTTGATTTATTGTCTACCTATAAAAGGTTTAAAAGGCTTGAAGTCAAGAGTATCAACTTCACTGCACCAACTGTACAATGGATAGCTACCTCCCAAGAGTGTCACAAAAGGCAAAAAATTATCAACTCCAGCGATAATCCATAAGGATTTCCATTAAAACAACAGTCAGTGAAATAAACATGACTTTCTGTATCTTCATTGTTACCTAAACACTCTTCCCTTGCTAGCCCCAAAATCTGGCATCCAATTATTAAGGCATTTGCCCTGTGAATGCTTAATAAAATGTGCAAAGAATCCATAGGCCTTTCCAAACAAAATCTATTTTAATAAAAATAAAAAAAAACACATAACAACCCTACTTTACACAGGTAACTATACATTGTTTACAAATTTATTTATCTATATTTTATAAATTTTTTCTTTCAAAATATTTAAAGGGAGTAATTAATAAACAATAACAGAGTAAAACAGACTGCATTTCCCTGAGCCTAAAATACAATTAAGTAAGGAGACTGATTTTATTATGGCCAAGACAAAAATGCCATCTAGGAATCAAAGCATGGAATCCAAAGAGGCAACCTTCGTCTGTGATCTGGCAACTTTTCATCGCCGCCTGATAAGCATACAACAAACAAGCCACCATTTTGTTAACCTAGTCAAAGGTGCATTGTTACGTAATCAGCATGGAGAAAAAAAGCTTATATTTAATTCTGTTTAAAACTCAGAAAAAGCGCCAATGTGACATTTGAATTGATGTGACAAGTTTATGGGGATAATGGTTTATTTTGTGCACAGATTTTTAGCTGGTATTCACAATTCAAAAGTGATTAGGGAAATTATTAATTATGCAACTAGACCTGGACAGCCAATTGCTGTTCGTAATCAAGAACTGATTGCAAAATTCCAAGAATGGATACAAGAAGATCATTGTTCGACTGTGAGGACGATGGTAGATGAATTTGGTGTTAATACAGAGACTATTCATAAAATGTTAGTGGAAAATTTGGGCAAGAAAAAAGTTGTTTGTTGGTTTGTATTCAACACCTGGAAATTTTTTCCTTCTTCATGACAATGCACCAGTTCAAAGGGCAGTAGTTGCACAGGAATTTTTGGCCCAAAAACAGGGCAATATATCAGCATTTACTGGGCTGTGTCATAATCGGAAGTGAATAGATTTAGCTTACTCGTCCTGATACTGTTATGACTGAGTCAACAAACCAAAAAAGCACAAGCAAATAAAACATACATTTGTCAGTCTACAGTGTACAAAGTGGACAATATAAAGTTACAACCTCGGATGACCACCGTCTGCGAGTCCCTCACCATCAGGTTGACCACGTGGTTGGCCGTATTGAGACACAGAGCTATATGTTGAAGCCACTGGCTGCTTTCCAAATTGCTCAGCCAGCGGGAATCCGTACTGAAGAAATCTTTAGCGGAATCTGCAAGGTCAACCAGTCTGACTGTTTATGCCATGAACACAGGTCATGTAATGCTTTCAAGAAGTCCATGACAGACATTTCAGCTAACATATAACACTGCAAGAAATTTCTAGAATCTAATCAAACTGACATAGTGTATACAAATATTACTGTTGTAGCATTCCCAAGCTGTAAACTCAGGCAGACAGTTCTTTATTTTCCATCCACTTCTGGACTTCAGTCACTTCTAACATGTCACTATCTCTCAAGCAGGCTGAAGTAAGAGTCCACTTATTGTGCAGTGGTAGAGGTGATGCTGTATATGTGAACATTAATTACATATATTCTGCTTAAAAGCTGTCATGGAGTACTGAGAAAGCATTACATAAACTTTTTATATTAAAAAAAAAAAAATCTGTACATATCATCAAAGAACTTTTCCAAGTTTTTTTTAAAGGTACAGACATAATGCTCGCAGAATTATGGGGTTTGGAAAGGCTTTACAACAACTGAATAAACCAAGTTCCTGATTAACAGAATGAAGAAAAAAACCCATAATTTTCCATCTTCTACCTCTCATTTCAAAGAAAGTGGAAAAGCTCCTTGCTGCACACTATCAGCATTGGACCATATACAAGTAAACGTGTATTAGAAAGATAATTTTTTAGTTCATCCATGTGTTTGTTACAAAATTAACAGTGTATTTTTAAATGCCCAAACAAAATCCAAGGAGTCTCAGCAGAAAAAAAAAACCCCAGTCTGGTTGTAAAGTTTATAATATGTGTTAGAGGCTAACAGTTAACTATAAATCTCAAACACACCCCTCTTTACACACTATTTTCACCCTTCCTAGACAAACAATCAGCCTGGCTCAGAAGTCAACAGTTGGTTCAACCATAAACCTCAAATGTACACCCCTTTACACACTATTTTTTTTACCCCTTATCAACCAGCCATACTCAGAAGGCAATGGTTAATAAACCCTGTTTTCCAGAGAAGGCTTGTTTTCCAACTTGTACAGGTTGTTGGAGACAAGCGGTCTGTGCAGTGGCCAATACAACAGTCTGACAGGTTGCAACTGTATAGCGTATAGACATATTGGGTATGATTATGCTTATCCAATAGGGGTGGGGGAGGGGGGGGGGGTGAGGAAAGATTTAAATTTGAGTGGAAAGGGGAGTGGGGGTGGGGGGTGTGAGCTGATAATAATCTAATCACAACGTCACTTTCCTCTCTGTGCTATGTCAATAAAACCAATGTTTTTTTTTTTGGTTGCAGGGAAGGAAAGCGATAATTTAGTTTCTCAGGTTGTATTTGATGATTACTTCATTTAAAAAAAAAAAATCTACTTTACGCACAATAATTAAATATGAAAAATCCATCTTTTTAAATAATTAGGGACCGCGACGATGTAACAGCTAGCAAGCATGCCTTAGTCTTAGGTTTCAACGTCACAGCAATCGGGTTTTCCCCATACTTGCTCCGTTTCCTGTGCCACTGCGAATCAAATTGAACGTCCCTCACCATCACATTAAAAAAAGTCGGGAACAAACAACTAGTCCTGGAACAATCCAGAAATGTGCACGCAGTAAATGCGTTTTTTAGTTAGAGGCTCCAAAGCCAACAATCGCTACCAGAAATTCAGTTTGTCGTTGATGGAAGCAGTCGGGCACAATAAGTTGATTACTATACACATGAAGAAATATTACATAAGGTATTTCACCAACTGACACAAGCATACCTGTGTGCATGGTGGCTCCTAGGTTTCAATCCCTGGACTTTTATACAAACTGACAGACACTCTAAATTTCTTCTTCTCTTCCCCAAATTTCTTAGAACAGAGTTTCAGAGAATTCTAACAGTGAGATTATATTGGGGGTAAAAAATAATTTTGTACAGATTTTTAAATGGCCAAAAGAGTTAATCTGAAAATCTCAAATATTCTCCCTTTACAAACATTTTTTTTTAACCTCCATAAACAATGAATTTGCCTAATTTCAAATGTCATAAAAAGCTACAACAGTTGTTTCCAACAGACGTTAAACTCACACAGGTGATTTGTGTATCAGCTGCAGAGAACATGTACCTTCAACTGCACAAAGATTCTTCCTCTTGTAAGTGCTTCCCGGATTCACACAGACAGACGGGTTGTATTCTTTTACAATAGTGAGACTTGGGCAATACTGTAGTTTTCTATCTACCTTGTGGCCCAGCATTTCTGATTTCAGGATCTCTTCAGATAAGGTTAAAGCAGAGGACTGACTTAACTGTTTTCTTCCACATGGCTGGGTCTCTCACCATAGAACGCCTAGCCATCAGCTGAGAGCATAGCACAAATCACAAACACCGCAGCTCCATCGATAATACCCAAGAGTCTCTGCAAAAACTGCTCTCATGAACTTAAAGAGGCAGCCATGAAATGAACCCACAACCTTAGAGCGTGAGGCGATAAGCTTGACCTCTTCGTCACAGAGAACCTTCCTCCAATATTCAGAGGAAGAGTTGACTAATTCCCCTTTTGCCTTTACCTCATTTATGATGGTCTATTCCCTTTACCTGCTAGCAACATTCAGAGATAAACAACAAACACACAATGCAAAAAGTGACAGATCAGTCAAGCATGTGAGGTCTGAGCCACACAGACAAACTTCTCAGTCATTTACAGATCAGATACAAATCTTCACCTGTCATGATTATGCTCTTCAGCTTTGGAATACATGGCTGGCTCGACCTTAAACACTGAGATGAAATTCTTTCCTTCATCATCTTTCCTTCAAAGACTATTCTTATAATAATTCTAGAAATTATCCCTCTTTCATCATTCTTCTCTCACTGACAATTCTCATAATAATTCGTGAAAATTTCACTCTTTTATCAACTTTCCTTCACAGACAATGCTGAGAAATTCTGGAAATTATGTGGTACTCATTTTTATGAGGCTGGGTCTACCTGAGAGTCTCTACCAAAGTGCCACAACTGAGTAACTTTTTAAAATCCAAAGACTACCTCGGCCATGACCTTTTTTATTTTAGATTCTGATCTTGATTTATCACACACACACAAATGAAAAAGGGGGAAAAAAATAAGTTCACTAACTTATTTTCACATGTCTTGAAATCAGACTCTGGCTGAATCTGTGACATCCGAACTAAGCTGGCACCATTTACATAAGTATAGGACCAAGTCTGAAACAAGAGGAATGAATAAATCAATTAATCTAATAACTAGTAATTTAATTACAATCCTTTTCTCTGTAATTCCCCAGATTTGGTT